TGCGACGACCTATTAATCAGGAGCTACATTCACGTCATTCCGTCACCTCTTCTTTTTATATATACAAAAATATTGTAAATTTATATGTATATTTCATTTGCTTACATATTAAAATAATATCCAAATCAAGAACAAATTCGTTATTAGGTGCAAACGCAGTAAAGTAAACTTGGAACTATCCAATTTGTAAGGGCAAACCAACACACACATGCTCAAATAAATATTGTTTTTTGTATTCATTGGTCTGATTTGGCCCTTTATATTATTTTTTCTTAAATACACGCTGGCGGGGCACCATGAGGGATGATAGGTGACAATGAATGCAGGTCAGTTGGCCCATCGTAATGAATTCCACTACGATTAACCACGATGGTTTCCAGGAGGAATCGCGTGAAGGTTGACCTGACAGGTTGTATTGCTAGCAATGGGTCAATTAGACCCCATTACTAACAATCCCTTTCCCCCTGGACTACGTAATTAGAAGCGGGCTACGCCGGCAAATCTGTCATGTACAGACATTGTCTAGTAACAATTTTGTTATATTATTTGTTACAAAACCCGCAGCTTTTAATAAATTGTTACATTGTAATGTTTTCTAGTACTTTTAGTTGCCAATAACGGATTTACAATGTACAATATATTTCTTATTAGAAAGTTAATTTTGAGCTTTGAACTTTTCACTGAACATAAGCTTTCCTCAAAAGTGGAGTTTTACCAGCAGTTGCCATACTTGGCAGGCGAGTTGACAACCGCAGTTAGGCTTTTAGAGATGTTTTAAGAGGGTTGCTGCTCATCCCTCTATCAATAAGTTTCTTTAGTCGACTTTTACGACTCCTATAGAAAAAAAGTGGCCTATTCTATGCCGGAAAAAATCATATATGTTAGGTTGAAAACTTAGGTAATATGTAAATGTAAATATGTTTCGTTGACTTTTGGCCTATTATATGCCGGAAAAAGTTATATATTACTGTGATCTAAAAGTAAGATCACCAGAGGGAGACTTTGCACAAAAGTCGTTTGCTTGGGTACCTCTGCCCCATTCTAGTTTCAACGGTAAAGCAGTTGTATTTGCGTGGCTGTGTTTCGGTTTGAAGGGTGGGATATGGCGTGAATTTACAGGGTACAGATGAATAACACCTGAGTTCTCAGAAATGGCAACGCATAGGTACGCATATCATGGGCGAAACAGTATACTCTGTTATGTCCATGGTACTGCTCATGTCTATAGGCGACGGTTACCACTTTCCATTAGTTGTTCCGTCAGCTTGTTTACCATTCTAAGTTGTATATAAAAAAAGAAAAAAGATGAAATTGACATTTTTGACTCATTAGACAGACTCAGGAGACAGGAATTTTTTTTTCTATATTGGTAGTACTATGTTATGTTGAAAACTTAGGTAGTTTGTGAATATAAATGTGTTTCGTTGATTTTAAACACCCAATCGTTACTCAACGATGCTATGACCTAACGAACAGGCGGTAATGAATGATAATAGTGCTTATAGAGTGAGATGAGCATAGCGCACTCCGATGCGCCCAATATCCGAAAGGAAACGGTGCAGACCTGCCGCCTCCTTCACGTTTCTCCTATACCAACTCCGGTTGGCTTATACCTTAATTATACAGTCTATAATTGAAATTATTATACTTTGAACGTTTAGAGATAGAATTTGTTTTTTTTTTTACATTCCGTCAGTTCTTTTAATCTAATGTCTGTTGAGGGCCTCCAGCTGAAGACTCCAGTACACTATTTTAGTTTTTACGACAAATCGTTCACGGTGCAAGCTGTACCGTTTCCAGGGGGAACCACGTGGAGGTCAATCTGACAGGGTATATTGCTAGTAATGAAACTATTTGACCCCATTACTAACAATCCCTTTCCCCCCAAACAGGTCAGTTAGCCCATCGTGACTAATTCCATAAGAATTAACCAATATGGTTTCCAGGGGGAACCTCATAGAGTTCGACCTGGTAGGATTTATTGCTAGTAACGGAACTGTTAAATCTCCATTACTTATATATTCCTATCACCTTCTCCCCTAGGTTACCATTACATAGACTGTATGTCACCATAGAAACATAAAAGAAACCTTGTAAAATTTAATATTTTTCCCAAAAACGTAAATCGAAAAAATTAATTATTGATTACCTTATTAGTAATTATTTTCATATAACCCTGTATTATACTAGTACTTTCAACTGACTTCAAAAAAGAGGTTTTCAATTCGTTCGTATTATTTTTTTATTTTTGTCACCATGTAACTCCGTCAATTGTAAACCGATTTGAAGAATTTTATCAAAATAGGTTCAGTAATTTTGGAATCAAAACAAATGGTTCTACTGATGGTGGTTTTATTTTTTGGAATACAATATTACAAATTCAACTGTAAAATTTAAGCATTACGCTTAAATATTACATTTGAAATTGTAATATTTAAGCATTACACTTAAATATTACATTTGAAATTGTAATATTTAAGCATTACGCTTGAATATTACAATTGAAATTGTAATATTTAATTTATGCTAGCTGATCCAGATGCTTTAGGCACAGAGAGCAGTCTAAATCTGAATGCAGCCTTAATAGATAATAAGTAGGTGGTGTGAACTACGAGGCTCAAATGGTGGAACGATCACTTTATGTAACAAGCCTGATCTGTACACATATTATATGAGACTTCACGACCACTTTAAGACCTTTTTAAATAAAATGTCTTAACTTCCCATACCATGTAATATTTATTACATGTGTCTATAGGAAATATTAATTGTATCTTGTAAACATTTTTTTTATGCAACTTAAAATAGCAAACAAGCTGACGGCCCACCTGATGGAAAGTGGTAACCGTCGCCTCTGTACATGAGCAGTACCATGCACATAACAGAGTATATTTTTCGCCCATGATAGCCCCCATGCGTTGCCATTCCTGAGGACTCAGGTGTTATTCCTCTGTACCCAGTAAATTCACGCCATGTCCCATCCTTCAAATTGAAATACAGCCATGCAAACACAACTGTTTCACAGTTGAAACACGAATATATTGCCGTGGTCCCGATAGAGAATGGAGTACCTCTTCCTTTCCCATGGGGGTCGCAATAGACTAAGAGAACTTAATGACCGAGGGATGGGCAGCAACGTCTATCTTCAAATTTCGTCAAAACTTAATTGCGGTTGCCAACGTGCTTGCTAAGCGTGCAACTACTGGGAAATCCCTCTACGCAGTCCCCCCTGAAAACCATCGCAGTTAATTCTTGTAAAATTCGTCATCATGGTCTAATCGATCTGCTTTAATTCTCATCTGTCGTCCCTCACTGGTGGAGCACCAACGGGGTTACCATTTAATTTAAATAACACCCTACCGATTGCAAAATCAAAATGAAAATCGGTAAATAACTGGTTATGTAGCCGTGATGATTATAGACAAATAGCGAATCTCCTCTTTAAAGTAACTAGGTGAATATAAACAAACACACACCTACAAACATACATACACACATACGAAGATCGACGTGACGATTCGTGGACACACACACACAGAGTAAATTGCATTGTAGATACAGTGCGTGTACTACAGAAAATATTGCGTATACAATCTATAACAAATCGTTCGTGAAAATCAAACGTTGATTGCCCGCAATTTCGTCGTATAATCAAAAATACCGAATCATTCCCAACTAAATACCCCGCGCCCCAATATCTATTTATTTAGGACGTAAAATTGAATAACAGTCGCCCCTGAAATAAATTGATGTGAGACGCACGCAGTGGTAATATTTAAATTATATTTAGGCGCCGTCAACCAATGGCAAGCGGCACCATCTTCCACCGCCAATGACTGTTCGAATAGAAATTTTCCAAAATTATCGCGTTTTCCGTGTCGTCGCGTCGCGCCGAGGGGGGCCACGGTTTATATATTTTATAGAGTTATTCGACGAATCAATATATGCCATTACTGCTTACTGAATCAACATATATCTCGGCTGTCCGCAACGGCTCCGCGCGGATGTACTAAGTCCGTGCGATTTTTCAAATATTTTCTTTCGAACAAACCTTGTCCTGACATAATTTTGCGAACATAATAAAAAAGAAATTAGCCCAACAAATGCAGTCAATCTGAAGTGATGCGGCAATTGATTTATCTATATCTACACTAATATAAAGAGGAAAGATTCGTACCATTGTAGATACCATTCTAAGTAGTATATATAAAAAAAGATTGTATTATATAAATTAACTAGCGACCCGCTCCGGCTTCGCACGGGTGCACATCACATCACATTAGAAACCTTCCTCTTGAATCACTCTAATTATTAAAAGAAATCGCTTCAAAATCCGTTGCGTAGTTTTAAAGATTTAAGCATACATAGGGATGGACGGACAGCGACAGCGACTTTGTTTTATATTTTTTTTTTATACAACTTAGAATGGCAAACAAGCTGACGGCCCACCTGATCGAAAGTGGTAACCGTCGCCTATAGACATGAGCAGTACCATGGACATAACAGAGTATACTGTTTCGGTCATGATACCCCCATGCGTTGCCATTCCTGAGGACTCAGGTGTTATTCCTCTGTACCCAGTTAATTTACGCCATATCCCACCGTTCAAACCGAAACATAGCCATGCAAACACAACTGCTTCACGGTTGAAACACGGATGGGAAAGAGGTACCCAAGCAATCGACTTTTGTACAAAGTCTCCCTATGTAGAGATGATACAAGACGTCCACACTGAGTAGAGTACTGGAATATAATCTCTTATATTTTCATAATAAGATTCATAATTTCATAAATTGATCGTTTTTTAGTTACACAATTTCAAAATCTTTTGGATGAACTCCAAAATAAGAGTTTCAAATTATCCATACACCTTGTCGCACGTATCAACGTCGTTTCTGAAAGTTCTATCAATTTATTAAACTATAATAAATTAATTTTGACTAAATTTTTGAAACTTCTAATAATTATATAATTAATTTATGTATTTTTTTTTGTTTCAGATTATTAATTTATTTAAACTATTTACGTTCGGAATGAAGCAAAGCGAGGTTGGCGAATGAAGACTATTTGGACGGTAAGTGCTATGCTTAATTATTGAACTAAGCTATCATTTTGATATTATTATCTACTATTTGTTGCCATGGTGTTTAACATTGGGGGGGGGGGGGGGGGGGGGGGGGGGGTATTGCCAGTAGTTGCCATGCTTGGCAATTGAGTTGGCAACCGCAGTTCAGCCTTTGGGGTTGTTTTAAGAGAGACGCTATTGCCTATCCCTCGACCATAAGTTCTCTTTGTCGCCTCTTAATGCATCCACGGGAAAGGAAGTGGTATATATATATATACCACTTCCTTTCCCTTATATATATATATATATATATATATATATATATATATATATATATATATATATATATATATATATATATATATATATATATATATATATATATATATATATATATATATATATACATAAAGAATTCTGACGCTTGATATTTACAATCTCTAAGAAGATTAATATAAAATATGTACAAATAAAGATTTTTTTTTCCATTCATGAAGAACTAATAATTACTTATGATATAGCTGTATGGGTCATGCTCTTTATCTGTTCATTTCGGATGAATTTTAAAACAAAAACTAAATGACAACTTAATACGTCAATGTAACAAATTCTCTTTTATTCCAGACAAATTATCATATTAGGTACGCTAAGGGGGAATATGTGAGGGATGATAGGTGAGAAAAAAAAGGCAGATCAGTTAGCCCATCGTGACGAATTCATTTGGAATAAAAGACGATGGTTTCCAGTGGGATCGCAAGGAGGTCGACCTGACAGGGTGTATTGCTAGCAATGGGGCTACCAATCCTTATTATTCACCTCTTCTCCCTCCCCCATACAAATGTTAGGTCATCCGTATAGCTATTATGAAGCTACAGTTAGAATATTAATTTAAAATTTCTCCCTCAGTGAAATACGACTTCCCAGGTAGTAAATAGCTCGAATCGCAAGTTGCTGCAGATAAATATTCTGTTTACATCTCCTAAACTAGGGTTTTATTATTTTTTTAATAAATGATAATGGTATGGTAACCCCGTCTGAGTTAACGGTATACGCTTTTGGCGCACCAGTGAGGGTTGATAAAAGAATGACCTACTGCGGAATCCTAATATACATGCTACAGGCCCCTAAGAAGGCCGTGTACCCCATTTCAAGAAACCCTGTTCTGTTTTTGATTTTGACACGAATTTCTATATCGTTTAGACATTATTTACAGAAGGCTTATATGTACTTGTCATAATTAAATTTTTATATAAGTAATAGCACAGGTGCGAAGCAGGGGCGGGTCACTAGTATATATTGTCATATACATTTTAAACACTATGCACATTATTCACAAGGGAGAATATTGAATACAGTAATGCCCCTGGGCTCTGTACCACGGCGAGATTTCGATTTCCTTTAATTCCACTCTTATAATATTGGTTCGCCGGTCCTGCTTCCTGCCTGCGCCGACTTTAGCAGTCGGCGCTCGTCGATTGTATTTTCTTCTCTTTCTAACATTGTTACTGTATTTACGACGTTTGATATGATATTTCTTCAATTCCAATGCAGAAATACGACTGGTTTTAGGTATGAGGAATGATGTTTTGTGAACGGTTAACATGAATTTACGAAAATAACGTTAAATGAAAATCAATGTTGTTTTACTGATTTTGCATTACTTATTTAATGAGTTCTCTAACTCGTAAGAAGTAATAAAATCTTTGTTTCATATCCAGTTCCCGCCAAAAAATACATTGTCTTTTTTTTAAGTACGTTTGTTCCGTTGCGGAACAGGCTAAGGTCGGAGACCATGCTGCCTAGTTTTCAATATGATAATTTGCCTGGAATAAAAGACAATTTGTTACATTGACGCATTCAGTTGTCATTTAGTTTTTGATTTAAAATTCATCCGAAATGAACAGATAAAGAGCATGACCCATACAGCCATATCATAAGTAATTATTAATTCTTCATGAATGGGAAAAAAATTCTTTATTTGTACATATTTTATATTAATCTTCTTAGAAGTTCTAAATATTAAGCGTCAGAATTCTTAATGAATACAATTCTTCTCATATGAAACAGTCTCCATTTTAACTTACTCTTCAATTATAAGTTAATTATATATGTGATTCGTAAACTTATATAAAGACTGTACATAAGTCTTCTTATATATAAATTGTAAATACTAAACGACGTTCCCGTATATTCTTTATAGATAATTGTCATTTAAATAATTACACTTGGTGACACTTGGAAACGTCAATGTTCTTTTTGGCGGGAACTAGTGTTACCATAAAAATCTTATATTTTTTTGAATGACGAATAATGTACTTAGAGTTGGGATTTTTATAAATAAAGACCATAGGCATCGCTTGGTGTTCGGGCGCGGCTAATGACGCACGTGCCTACAAACATTTAGTCAATAAACTATTACTTTATTGTGCCGCCGCCCTTAACAATCATACAGGCTAAACATTGGCGGGCTTTACGATATTTACATGTCGTATCGTGTGACGCGGCCTTTACACAATTTACGTTCCGTTACACGCTATGGCTAATTATATGTTTTTTTTTTTTAATTTGACGTCACACTCAGAGGCATGGTCAAAAAGATTCCGTTACAAAAATAACCTTGACGCCTAAAATGTTCACTTGGGTGATCTGTAATAAGATTTTATTTTACCTATCAAAGGAAGACTTTATACAAAAATTTGGTGCTTTTCAGTCATGTTTCTGCTATCAAACAATTGTACTTCAGTTTGAATTGTGGGGTATGGTAGTGAAATTACTTAGTACTTAATAATATTTACTACTTTTCATCACATAGACTTTCGATTTACTTGTCACTATAAAAATTTATAAAAATGTCGTCTAAAAATTCATTACAAGCAATTGATAGTTTTTATGTATGTGTATTATGTTTAAATATCAAATTATTACAAGAATTTTTTACTATATAAATACTTTTAAATCTTTTTTATTATTATTAAACAATTTGGTTAAATGTTGTTTTTTTTTAAAAAAATATTCAATTTCATTAGTTCCATTGATTTTAGAATTCTATGAAGAATCACTAAAGTTGCCATTTTAGGCTTCAATATGCCGCGTAAAAGCTCATGTCATTTATACTTATTTATACTTAGGACTATTACACACTTGTTTTTACACAATATAAATATTTGTAGTTCGAAAGAAAGGCCTTAATTTAAATTTTACAATGCTTTCGTAATTTTTTAAATATAATTTTTAAAACGTAAACCACGTAGTCAATCTAAGAAAGAGTTTCAAACAATTGTAACCCACTGTCAAATTATATAAAAATAAATCTTAAAATATTTTTTTTTAATTAATTTCCACGTTTTAAATGAGAGCGCAAGTTTTGAATTTGAACCCCTATCTACATATGAACGGAACGTACCATTCGACTCACTCTAACTCACAACACAGAGCCAAATGTCGACCGAGGTTCAATTACTTAGGGCGTGCACGCACTGCGCCAGGGAGCCGATACAAATTTAAACAGGCTAGTTCAGAAGCGGGGCGTGCTTAAATTTTAATGCCTTTAGTCTCTTAGAGCTCTATTTTGGGATTAGGGAGCTGTATCCCCCTTGATGCTCTAGATTTGGAATAAAATCACGTAGCTCGCCAATCAATGACTGCCAAAATCGTTGTTTAATATCAAATCCGTGAGATTTTGCGGCGGGCTGAGGATGTGGGTAAATGAGTAATTGCAAAACAATGTATGTTTGTTTATTGGTTTCCGTTTCTCAAAAAGGGGTAACGTGACTTCGGTAATAAGATGTTTTGAACTTTTTAATTTAAAGATAGAATAACAATTGACAAACTTGACTTGAGAAAATTACAGATTTGACAGTTGTTTTCGCTTCAGAAGTGATTGATTTACTTTTTTCTTTATGGTTTAATTTTGTTATTTTAATTTTATAGTATTTTAAAATAAATTTGATTAGTTTTATTATTACATAAACTTGTAAATACGCTTGTAATCTTTAAAATAAGAATACAAGTCAAAAAAAAAAATAAAAATTAGTAAATAAAAAATCTATTTGCTTTTGGATGATAATGGAATGGTAATCCCATCCGCGCTATCGGTATACACCGGCGGGGCACCAGTGAGGGATGATAGGTGAGGATGAAGCAGGTCAGTTGGTAGCCCATCATGACGAATTCAACAAGAATTGTTCACGATGGTTTCCAGGGAGAACCACGTGGAGGTCGACCTAATAAGGCATATTGCTAACAATGGGGCTGTCAAACTCCATTGCTAACAATCCCTTTCCCCCCATAAAGATGTTATTATTACCCATAAATAACTTTCAGTCACAATCTGTAACCACTTTGTGACGTCACAAAGCCAAGTATCTACGTTCAGTACAAATCATAGACTATATTGAATGTTGAACAGTAATTCTTCAATGTTCAATTCTACTGGTGGCCCATTGTCCGGCTTACTCGGCTCTTGTACACGCACGCTTACCAAAATACCAAATTGTAATAGCAATATACCAGACTATTATGACGCCAAACGCTTTAGTAATAAAGACTATAACGGCAGCACAACAAACTTTGTCATTACGGTTCTAAATATATGTGTTAAAATAATAAGCGCAAGCGAAATTGAGTTTTATTACTATAGTGGAAGAAACTATAACGATAGTAAGAATAATGTTGCCAATAGATTCGACAAGCCAGCCTGTAGTGTGAGCACACGTTCGCGACTCACGAATCTCGGGCACGATCGTCGCGTGGCAGGAATGACAATAGGGTGACCAACCTTCGGCACGACGATGTGATGTTCACCGTTTAACCTGACGATTGCAACCTTACCGATACAATGGTATTAATTTGGCACTTCAGTACCGAACAGACGAGGGTTCGTAAAAAGAACAGCATTATTCTATTCTCGTCCCGAATTCCTCATTTTCCAGTAATGACTTTCGGAATTATGTATATTTATGTGTCTATTATTTGGCACGTTGTGTAAAGCACGATTCACACAGATCCGA